AAAAAACATCGTTCGCGATTCTGATTGGACGTATCATTTTTTTCACGTGTGAAAACCATCGTTTGCTCCTCTGATTGGCTAGAACTAGTTTGCGTACGAAAATTTACGACATAGCTTTTTGGTGAGTATTTCTCAGTATGTATATAATAAATTTTATTCCTTGATTCCCTTGGATTAATTGGAGGTGGGCGGCCTCACCTCCAAAGCCAGGGAAAAGCGGCCTGGGGACGAGGTTGTTGTCAGAGGCGTGGTTCTACCATCTCTCAAGACACTGAATTCGAAGTAGCCTCCCATGCAGACGTTCTTAGGGGTTCGTCACGCGTTCCTGCCTAAGAACGTCCGCGTGGGAGGCTAAATTCGAAGTAGCCTGCGGACGGGAAGGGAAAAGGAGCGCACCTTCGTGTGCCTTAATTCCTCCGTTCTGTACCGTTTTAATGCCTACCACGTAGCCTAATAAATTGAAAGTTTATCGCTGCACTGAAATTCCTTTTCATAAAAGCTATAAGCTGGGGTCAATTTAATAAAACTGATACAACCGTAATTTACCAGTATAACCGTTGTTTTAGAGTCTGAAAACAATACCTGCATTTGTAAATTACACTTGTCAACGAGAGTATTAAGACAATGTATTGCGTCATACACTGTTATATTTTTGCTGTGTCGTCTCCATATAAGGCAAAATTATCTCACAGGCGAAGGTTGCAGTGCCCTTCTTCCAAGTGGCAGTAGGCCTCTTTTAACTGAGTAAGGTGAGATGTGCAACTGTTCACATGAAAAATGTTGTAACATTTGAATGTATATGAGAGCTAATTTTCACGAGGTGTTGGGTGCCAGAATCCACTTCTAAGAGAACTTTTAAGGTATTTTACCGGGAAAAGGTCAAGGATAATGTTTGTTTTAATTTAGTTTACTTTTGACTACAATTCCTCAATGTAAACCGAGAGGTTGAGGGTAAACCTGAGACGAAACTCGTAAACATAAACCCGAAAATTGCGCAAACCGAAGTGGTACTCGCTGGGCGTCATCATTGCTAGCCAAGTTTCTGACTACTTTTTCCATGTGTTAATCTTAAAAATCCTGTGAATATTGCTCTACTCCGTAAGTGTTAAAGATTACTTCCTGTGAATTTAATTTTTCAAAACACGACACTGGCCTCAGTGACATGTTTTCGGGAATTCACATTCCCTTCCGACTCCTTGCTTGCTATAATTCACCTTGTTGAAACGTGAAAATGGCTTACATATCTATGCCCAAAAGCTTTTATAATTACTGAAATATTATCATCAGCGTGGTAAGTTGTTAAAATATTGATTTTAGCCTCTTTTCTTCTCGTTATATGTTTCTTGTCATCATCAATGAACCGCTTATTATTTTGAAGTGACCATGTAATTCATACAAGCTGTTTTTCAACTTCCTGTTTTTGATCGTGTTGAGTTTTGTTGCCATATATTGAAACGTTCATAGTGAAACAAGTATTTCACTATTTGCACAACAGACATTTTTTTTTTAACTTCCTTTGCATAATTTGGCCACATAAGCGCCTTATCAGTTAGTAGTCAATTTTTCAAGTGGATTAAGTAATTAATTTTGCCAACATTTGATCGCGCAGGTGGAGCTGTAAATAAGAGTCGGTCATCGGTTAATCATCCAATTAAAATTTTATACCCATGTTCGAAGAAATTCTATCCATAGTCGGACATGCTGATCGGGTAGATCAAATAATGAAGACCAATATTTTGTAGGTCCGACAGTTTTTCTGGTTGCCTTACTATAATTGCGACCTAAAATGTTCAAAGCTTTGTAGTGAGACCACTCGCCTGTGGCTCGTGGTTCCACTTGAGTTTTGGACATTTTATTGCGTCATTTCTATGGTCTATAAGAGTTTATAAAATAACTAAGATAGTATGCTTGTTCTGATTGGTTAAAAACCTATGGTTTATTGTGCCGGTAAACTCAAAGAAAACTGAGACATACTTTAAAGTTATTTTATACAAGCATTAGACCACACTTTCTATGGGTTTACCGGCGTGATAACCCACTTAGGATGTTGTGAGAACACTCGAAAAGCTCAGTTGTAAATCACGAGCCGAAGGCGAGTAATGTACAAGCTTTTCTCGTGTTCTCCCAACATCCCGCGTGGGTTATCACTCCAGTAAACCCACAGAAAGTGTGGTCTATTGCTTAAGTAAACCATGAAAAATTGTGGTCGATTTGTTAACTAGTATAAATACGACCATCTGCCGCAGCGAATTCTGCCGGCAGAATTCGAGTCGCGAACAAGAAAAGTGTTGAAATGAAGATATGATTTTCGCAGTGGTCAGGAGCACCCAACGACAATTTTCGGAAAAATATCTGTTCGGAAGACGATTTGAGATCTACAATTTTCGGAACATTTGTTGTAAAATTTCTTGCTTGCCTGCCTCTCCTAGGATTTTCGATCATTCTAAAAATGGTAAAATTGCCCATTTTCAACGGATTTTTACCCTAAAAAGGTCACCTAAAATTTTCGGGAGCCTTTTTTCTGGCCGAAATTTTCGAACACGAAAGTTTTGATCCCTATAATTTTCGGATCACTAGACTTTCAGCTAGGAAATCCGAACAGATGAAAAATTTATAGGGGATAAAAATATGCCCATATCCAATACTAAAACGCGTTTAACAATGCTATGTTTAAGTGGTTTTGAACTATATTCTCGTTGGGTGCACCTTAGTGGTAATTGCAACTTAAGCAGTAGCCTGCGTAGCTGGCGGTATTGTGTAGTAGTCGAGTGAGATTTGGCGGCGGAGCCGTTGTAATATATTCAAGTGAGATTTGACGGCGGAGCCGTCACGAGCGGCGAAGCCGCGAGAAATACCGCCTCGTCCCTACTCCCTTTTTTTTGGAACACGGCTCCGCCGCTAAAACTTCAATCTCGCACCCACACAATACCGCCAGCTACACAGGCTACTTAAGCAGTTGCATGGGTCTTCATAGCGCAGTAGGTAGATCACTGTAACGCTAAAACGCGGGGGCCATGGATGCGGGTTAATTTGCAATTACTTGAATTGCAATTACCACTGCGACGATCATATCTTTATTTAAATTTGTACTTCCGCGGTTCACATCATCCCCCAAAAAACATTGTGATATCCGAATCGAACTGACCCTGTGATTTTCATCTCACATCGAAAAACACCAGCTCATTAAAAATAGATTTTGATTACAGAATAGGTTCGATGAAATTATATGCTAAAATCCTAAAGCTCGTTTTTCCTGAGCGTTACATTTGGAAAAAGAGTCGCTTTATTGTTTGGTTGTATTGTTTCTTTTGTTGTACGTAATCTGTGCCTCAGTACCTACAGAAGGAATTGGAACCCTTCGAGCAGGCTTCAGTCGCACGAGCAGGATTTTGAGCAGAAAACGTGATTTTCAGGAGTTCTTCTATGAGGGTTGGGGGCAGGAACTTCAGTTTACACTGAAAGACCAGGATCTGTTTACATGACAAAACCAAAAAAAATACAGTAGCAATAAAATACGAAATTAGCTTAAGCGTGGCTTAAAATGAAACAGTTATTTAATTACGTTTCAGTTAACGTTGTTGTGTATCAAAAACGTTTTAACAACCTCGTCTATAACTAAACATGCTACGCCCTTTAATACGGTCGTTAATTTTGTCTTACTGAATGCCATGTTGTTATCACATAATTCACGGTCTCTCTATCGTTTCTTTTGTTAACGCTCATGACACTATAATTTGGGGAAATATATTTTCTAAACAGTGTTCAAGGTTAATATCAAGACTTGCTGATACCATGTATATCCTAGAAAACACTTCACAGTGGAACAGCAAAACGAAGTTAACTAGCGACTTTTTCAAAGTATTTTTTTCTTTAACCTAAACTCCATTTTTACTTTTTTGTGTTTTTAATCATTGGGGGCCTTTTCCTCTTCTCCATCTTTCTAGATCAGTTTTTTGCCAAGCAGAAGGAAACACTAATAACTCCGCGCTTTGTGATGCAAAGCTAGTTATTCCATCGCCTACACTGTAATCACATGACCAATATATTGTCCTGTATACGATTTATAGCCCTATCGGTTTGGCTTTTATATTGAACCACAGTTTTACCATGAAAAGTTCAGTACGTATAAATATTTGATCTTGAGTGAGTCGATATCACTTCACTGAATTACAAGAGAACCGAATGACACGTTTGTGGACGAGTTAGACGAGAGTTTGTATTGTGATGTCGCGTGATAGCTCGAAAGAATCATTTCTTCACTTTGACAGTTAAGGATCCGGAATATTATTTGTAAGGTCGTTTCGCTGTTTTATTTGCTTTCTTTGAGACCTTACAAGAAATTTTTAATGCGTGATTTTACATTTCTTCGGACATTTGCTCCGAAATTTAAAGGAAAGCAAATTTTTAAGACCAGGCTCTGGGAGCAGATGAATAGATGCTTAGTTTGAATTCAAAGTACGCTGTCGAACCCTGCACATTGTTTTCAGAGCTAAAAGTGTAAAGTATCTCCTTAAATTATTATTACAGTCCCCTAACGAGGTTTATTTAAACCAAATGAAGAAAGGAATAATTTTCTAGCATCCAGTAGGGTAACGTTAATTAACGTTAAGTATTTCAACTCCGGCTTAGAGTTTCGTTGTTTTTTAAAGTATCCCTTCCCAAAGGGAACAAATGTTAACATATTGTTTCACCTTTGTCTTTGGAGTAATGATAAAACTTTGAAAATGATAATGCGCAGCATAAATACTCTTTTCTCTTGAAGTGGCGAATTTTGATATTCCCCGGCCTTTAGCACTAAGTGCGGAAGGAACAGACGGAATGTACAATTCTTATGTTAAGAAATTAAAACTCTATTTGCACTTTTGTGGAAACCATAATTAGCTATCTCTCTTTTTTGTCTTATATTAACTGACTAATGGTTTATGCTCCAGCTATTCAGAAAACAACCCCTGTTTGTTTTAAATCCTGTTCTGTTTTGCTTCCTAGATTTATTACGCACAATGCATTATTTTGCAAGCATTTGGACTGTGGTTGTTTTTTTAATTCTACTGAAAAACGCAGGTAAGCCGTACAGCCTATATGTTAACTTGACTGTATGCAGTCCACAATTTTTTTTAGTGTAGTATATATTACAATGTCAACGACCGCTAGAACTGACTAGAACTGAATTGACAAGTGAGACTTAGATAGCACGAATACGAATTTCGAACCATGCGTGATCCCAGCACTCGCCGCTCATAAAGACATTTTAGGCACACGATTGTTGTACATATATTTTTAACTACACTGTAAGACAAACGGAGTGGTCTTTAAAGCTGTTACTCTTGACTTCCAAAGAGTAAAGTAGTTTAATGCGAGACTACAGAAATTTGTTCATCATACAGGGGCGGATCCAGGATTTTATTTAGGAGGGGGTGCACTCGTCTCTTGCTCCACTTCAACACCAATAAACCACATAGTTTTTTTTGCAGAATACCAGTTGTATTAGAAAACCGCAGGTCATCTCAGGGAGGGGGGGGGGGTGCGCACCCCCTGCACCCTCCCCCTAGATCCGCCCCTGTCATAAATAGTCTAAGTCCAACGAAGGGTGTTTAATTTCGAGAACGCACTCACAAACGTATCAGGGTTCATTTACGGCCTTTCTGCGGACTACAAGTCAAAGATCGCAAACGACCATAGCATTGGATTGACCCTTTCACTTATAATAGTAGGCGAAGTTAAATTGAAACAATGTTTTTGTAAAAACCTAAGATTTAAATAGTACTATGTAAACGTTCTCCCAAAGAGGTTTCATATACATTTGAATGGTAACACCACAGGATTCCATCCACAGCATCAAAAGTTAGAGTTACATACTAAAGAAATAATACCATGAGGAAATACTGCTGAAGAGGTTTCATTTGAATGGTCACACCATAGGATTTCATCCACAGACTCAAAAGTTAGAGCTACATACTAAATAAATAATATCACGTGAAAGTACTGCTGAAGAGGTTTCATTTAGATGTGACACCATAGGATTTCATCCATAGAATCAAAAGTTAGATTCTACATAATATACTGAATAGTACCATGTGAAAAGTACCACTGTAACTCGGTTATGATGTAAGTTTTTGTAGAATTTACCGATGTCGTATATTCTTATTTCACAATGTCTCCTAGTCGAAAGCCTATTCAAAGTAGTATAGAATGAGCGCATGGCTTCACCTGGGTTGCCATTAAAAATACATGTTCTATATTCTTTGCAGGAAGTGAAACTCTAAAGGCGTCTAAAAAGGTAAGCCGAGCGGGGAACTGGTATGACTTATGTCCGCAAAGGCTCTATGGATCGTTTGGAGAGACAGCAAAAACGTGGCGGACAGCAGCAAGCCATCTGTTAAAAGACGCTGTCAAGGTCCCAAAAACTCATGCGTGTTGCATCAGGGTCCGTCTTAAGAATCCTGTAATAGTCGAAGAATTAGTTGCATTTTTGAAACTTTTATTTGCATTTTGAAACGGAGCACTTGTAGTGCGCCATGTGCTGTCCTTCCAAACGATCCCAAGAAGCTTTGGGGTCTCATATCGTACCCAGTTTTTAACTCGTTTAGAACATGTAGCAGTGCGTCTTTTGAATGAGATAGCTGTTCGAACAAGACTTAATTCGCCTAAAAATTAATTATAATGTTACTAGGTAATACGTTAAGTTGGCATCGAGAACATAAAGAAATTTGGATCCACTAAGCCATCAATTCAATGCAATTCAAATTATTTGCATTTCCATATGAATAGATGGCATTGCCGATGACAATATTCGTTGCATGAAAGTAAAAGAGAAGATAATAACAATAATAACAAAAAGTAATCAGTACTGAAAACTTAAATTACATACCAAATTTCTATTTATATGGCGACTACGTTTAATGATCTATTTGCCCGTTTTTCGGTGGTCAGAAAGATAAAGTGGCCAAGTTTTTTTGCAAACAGAAGGGTATATACTATTAAAGAGAAATAGTGTCATATCAGTTGATCGAGTGAAAATGAGGATATTTTTGACTTATAGAATCCAAAATTATATCATTGGTCTCTGAAAACACATCTGCTGTTGTTTTCAGGGCTAGGGGGATTGTTTGGGTCATCAGTTTAAATCTATTATTTCGTTAGCTAATTAAACTACTCGTTCAGAGAGCTTAGTGGTTCCCCGAAATGAAAACTTCATTGGCTTCTTAGAGCTTTTTCTCGCGCTTAAAGGAGCTCTGTCACGATCATTCAACAGAAACAAAATAATCATAGAAAGTATAAATAACACCGCAAATACGAAAGGAAGCCTGGATGGACAAACCTGAAGAAGATTGAAACGGATTGCATTTGTAATTGTTGAAAACTTGTTAACCTAATAGTTTTTCGAAGTTTGTTTCTGTTGTTTGTAACGTTCGATATATAGAGGATATTACACGTTGGCTCGAAGATATGAATTTTATGTTCTCGTGGCAAGAACAATATCTCACGAGTGAGCGAAGCGAACGAGTGAGATATTGTTCTTGCCACTCGAACATAAAATTCATATCTTCGAGCCAACGTGTAATGTTCTTTTTATTATATGGAGAAACCAATTCAACAAAAGCAAAAGGCGGGAATCGTGACGTCATTGAACGATACGACACTCACAAAGGTGACATACGGAAAATACGCCACTCGGGTCCCGGATGAAGTGGCGTATGGAATCTACGAGTGGTTTAGTTCCCGGTAAAACACTCTCCTCCATATAATAAAATGCTTTATATAACACGAAGCTGTGATTTTGTCATTCGAAAGTGATTTCCAAAGTTCCATAAAGAATAAGGACGCGTAATTGGTATTATTATATGGAGGAGAGTGTTTTACCGGGAACTAAACCACTCGTAGATTCCATACGCCACTTCATCCGGGACCCGAGTGGCGTATTTTCCGTATGTCACCTTTGTGAGTGTCGTATCGTTCAATGACGTCACGATTCCCGCCTTTTGCTTTTGTTGAATTGGTTTCTCCATATAATAAAAAGAACATTATACGTTGGCTCGAAGATATGAATTTTATGTTCTCGTGGCAAGAACAATATCTCACGAGTGAGCGAAGCGAACGAGTGAGATATTGTTCTTGCCACGAGAACATAAAATTCATATCTTCTCGCCACCGTGTAATATCCTCTATTTATCATTCGATGTAAATTTTTCTTCCTTTTCATTGACCGAAATCCCACCACGTGACTTGCAAATAACTGCTTACAGATAACGGTCTGCTCATGCTACTCAATGGTCTGCTCAATGTCGTCCAACTTTGTTTGTCTGCAAATAATATTCTGCTCATGCGTAAACGAAACCACGCTTGCGATGGCTCTTGCGTGAAAAAAGGCAGATCGCCTCGCTTCTCGAAGATATTCATTAGAAAACAAACTTGGTGATCGAATGATAAAACAATTATTAAACTCGGCTATCGAAAAATATCCTGATTTGTCAGATCACGATATTTTATATCATTATATTTCAGACAAATCACGATATTTTGCTCAACCTCGTCAATAATTGTTGATTATTAACAAATGAAGTTGTCAGGCCCTTCAAAACCAACCCCTACACCAGAACCCCCGATTGATGAAATGGCAATGATAATCAAGCTGCTTTAAGTGCCGTCAGCATTGAAGCAGTTCAGTAGCATTGTAGTTAGCATTGCAGTGACAACCGAAATCAATTTCGATCGTGAAGTTTAATTTTATTTACTTTTTTTTACTTATTTCTCCTCAGAATCTTCATCATTACATGACCAAGAGAGAAGTAGAGTATTTATTTGGCGTCAAAGATCATTCTGAAAGTAAGCGATGTTTGGAACCTATTAGGTAGCGCTATCAGGAGCTCATTATCCTAGAGAGTTCATCGGTTACAATAAGTGTGGCAGCGCGTTGGACGTTCATCTATATTTAGATTTCTTTTCCTCCTATATATAGAGCGTTTTCACTCACGAGGTCAAAAGCTATGCAAATTTATTGGAACAAAAGAACATTTTTACATAACAAAAATTTCCAACTGCCACAGGACTGGTTTGGAACACCAACATGGCCGCCGTTTCATCGTTATCAAGCACCAATATGGTGAACGTGACGTCATGTGAAAACGCTCTATTTGCTTTGTTCACAAACGTACACGCAATGGAATATGACTACATTTGTAGAAGATTAGAAAAAGACCTGGGCCCAGTTGTTCGAAGGCCGATTAGTGCTTAACCCGGGGTTAAATTTAACCCGGGTTTCTCTTTCTTGTGTCCAAAGCATTTTCTCGGATAATTTTCTCTGTTATATTTAGAGCTTTCAATCGTCAACTTGTAGACAAAAAGAATGAAAACTGAAATACTTTTTAAGCTTTCAAATCTGAATTCAAATCTCGCACTAACCCTGGGTTATCTTAACCCGGCTTTGAACAACTCGGCCCTGGGCCAGGTTGCATAAAACCTTCTTAAGATAAGAGAGCACTTAACTTTTGTTCTGGAACAATAACCTATTGTTTTGAAATAATAGTTACGAGTTCTCTTAATCTTAAGATGTGTTTTGCAACCCGACCCTGGCGTCTTGTTCTTCGAACAACTTAGCTCTCTCTGCTTAACCCTTTAAACGCTAAAATTAAAATTAACATTCTCCTTTGTCGCCCCTATTCATTTACTATAGAATTAGTGGGGAGAAGTTGATAAAATATCAAGCAAACACATTCTCTGTTATCATGTCCTTAATTCTCATGACCACTCTGTTTTACAAAGCATTGCTATAACAAGGAGAAATTTGATGCTGATCTCTGGTTTAACATCCACCTTTCCTGGAAATCCTGCTCTGCTCAGATGGCTGAGAGCACTAAAGATGAATCTACAAATGATCTATTAATCTAACACATTGTAACCTAAGCCTAATGTGACAAATGGACGCTCGGAGTTGTTTGGCCCCTACGCTCGCAAGCTCGCACGATGCTGGGCCTACTCTATCCAACTGTTTTTGTAAATGGGTAAGGGCTGGATGGATTTGCTTCCCGTTCTGGGGGATGGGGTTGGTAGAAATTTTCCTAGTTTCTTGATGCCATGGAAACCTGGATAAGCTCCAGCCTGGTGGACTACTCGACTAGAGTGCAGACTTGACCTTAATACGCGTGTCCATTCCTTTTATCTGCAGTTCCCGAATATGACGTAGCCACACCGCACGAAACAGAGTCAAATGGAAGAAAGATGTCCCCCTTCGGTCGCAGACGGCGCTCGTCTAATACAGATCTTTTACACTATAAACTTCATGCATTTGGATCTAAGTTTCGGCTGAAGCTAAAGCCAAACAAAATGCTTATGACGCCCAACTTAGTCGTCGAAAGACACCACGGAGGGGGAAGAGTTTCTGCTCACCCTGTGCCTGAAAATAAATTCTACTTGGGAACGGTGTCCTCGCATCCAGACTCCCTGGTGGCCGTGAGAAGCGATAAAGGACTGGTAAGGCTAGGATTTTAAACTTTCTTCTTTTTGCTTTATGGTTCTGCTTCCCCAGCACCAGCAAATAAATAAATTAAAACCGCGGCAGGACAAGCTCAGTCGGTAGAGCGCCTGCCTTTAGAGCGGAAGGTCGCGGGTTCGATCCCCGTGGCCGGACCTATAGTCAGAGTCTCAAAATAACTGAGAAGTAAAGGTACTACCGTTGCCCTGCAAACGAGTAGACCTTCGCGTCGCTCGGATGACCACGTAAAGTGGCGCTCCCGTCTCAAGTAGGAGACGCAAAAATAGCATCCTCGATTAGTACTTTGGTGCTAACTACATTGAAACGCAAATAAAGTGCGTTATGAATTTTCATTTTTGATTCTGTTCGTGTTGAACATTTAGACACCTCTACTGGAAACGTTTTTTAATCACAGTTATGGGTACAACACGGTGAATGAAAAGACAAGTCAACAATAAAATTATAATGAAATAGGAAAATATACAGCAGGTTTAGTTAGAGCAATTTAAGTTTTTACTCAAACCTCCAGTCTGTGGTAGTCAAAGTAACAGAGCCTTTGAGTTGATCACTGCTTACTGTACAGATATCGGAAAGGGGAAACTGTACTCAATAATTCAACTTTCCAATCGTAGATCTATGCTAACTCAAAAAATCCTCCACAATCTTGGATCATGACCACTTTAAAGGAAAAGTAACATTTTCCTTTTTCATTCCAATAGTCCGGCATGATAAGGACGTCAGAGGACACTTTTTTCGTCGAGCCTCTCCCTGCACATTTAGCAAAGCGCGTGAGGAGAAGCATCGACAGAATGCCTCATCTGATTTACAGAGCCTCGTCGTTGAAACTTGGCAACTCTAGCTGTCAAACGAGCAATTCATCAGGTTTGTATTGAGTTGTCGTGTTTTAGAAGTGCGATATGTGAATAGTGTTTGAATAGGGGTTAATGTGTACCAACCGTGTAGTTGATTTCACACCGCTAACAGATCATTCTTATTACAGACCTTATTTTTCTTATTAGTATAGCTAATAGCATAATTTGTAGTGATATTTGGCATAAATACCACGAGTGATATGTCGAAATTGTTATACGTAATTTCACGAGCCCTTAGGCGAGTGAAATTTGAGACAATTTTGAAATATCACGAGTGGTATTTATGCCAAATATCACGTACAAATTAAAAAAATTAAGCTGAAATACCACTGCTCTGAGCCAATCAAATTGCAGAAATTTCTCATGTAGTGGTATAAAAGACCGTTTTCTCTGTACCAGTACGGGGAGATTGTGTCTCTCATGTCTCTCTCGCAACTTAATGTTGCAGCAAACTTTGTGAGAGGAATATCTTGATTCCACTTTGTACAATGCGGGATACCTCAGAGAGGTGGTGCAAGGCATGATCTTTACGACGTATAACAGGCACTATTATTCATTCAATATATTTCCCCGTATCTGATTGGTTAAAACCACACGTATTATTCACCATAACCAGCCGCTGTTAACCAAATTTGAAAAGAATTTTGACATGTTGAACCGATGACGTCAAAATGACGTCAAAAGTGCAGCCTTGTTGCAGGTTATTGAACTGTTGACCGAGAAAACCTGGGGACGGTGCTGAGTTATATGACGGAACTGTCGCGGAACGTTTTCCTCGTTTCACTGCGAAATATTGTCTAAAAACATTGCAAGAACGGCAAGAAGACAACTCGCCAGACAACATCTGTTATTTGGAGTATATTTGCAGACCTTTGCAGACCTTAATCTCCTAAACTTCGCGATGCAGATGCATTATCGATATGAACTTACATCGACCGAGGCTAGCTTGCTCTTGGAATTATTTTGAAGGAATAATAAAACAATTATTGAATTCAGCTTTCCTAGGATATGAAGAATTCTGCAGATCGAGGAGGGTGTTGTCCACCTCGGCCGATAACACCCTCCTGGATCTGCAGAATTCTTCATATCCTACTCAGCCTCATTCAATAATTGCTAAATATGTTTTGTCAAATTGCAAAATCGCAATTAATATTGAGGCCGAAAAGTAACTCTTTTTTACTCAAGGGAGTTAAATACATTTTTTTAAAACTTTTTTACATTTGTTTCTCCTTGTAGATAACTACCGCTACAGGGGGTCAAAACATGTGCATGACAGAAAGCGTCGGGCCACTAGTAATTACAAATTTATGGAAGCCGCCTTGATTGTTTCTCAAGACTATGTTGACAAGTACGGAGAAAAGGACTTTGCTACAGTACTTCTTGTCATTGCTAACATGGTATGTATGATCTGTGGGGATTCTCTACCTCACATTAAAAATAAATGTCTCCGGGTGTTTAGCCATAAGAGCCTCAGACTGCGAGTTTATTACATAAGCACAGCAAAACATCTCGACGTCAACAGGGGTCCTTTTTGCATGAGCATGCGCGACCGCTGACTTGTCAAAGAGCACGCGACCAGTGACAGCGACCGTGCTGCATAGTCATAGGAACCAAATTGTTCACTTTGAAAGCTTGCTTGAGATTGAAATGGTAGCAGGAACTTAGGAAAGACCTTCGTTGTACAAAATAAGTAAAGATCTGTTGATTTAAAGTGGAGACTGATGCGCTGAACGAGGTGAAAGAGCAAGTTTCTCAAGGATGTCTGACACGAACATGGCTGCTTGTTGTTGTTTGGCGCTCGACTCGTGTCTTGATTCCTCTTTAAGAACCGCAAAGTTTGGCATAGAATGCATTGCTGATGCGTAGCTAATAAGCAAAATGTTCTTTATTTAGTGTTTGTCTATACATCGGATGTAAATCAGTTTCTCGATGCCGTAGAAGATTTCTGTCAATTATTTGTTAATAGCTGATTTAGCCATATTTCGGGAGTGGATTAATAACGATCAGCGGGCGACTACCACGCCGTTTTCAGTTGGAATAGAAAGTTTTTGCCTTAAGTATTTTAGCGATACAAAGTTTGTTTATAGGAAAATTGTAGAACTTCTTCTTTTTGCGTGGACTAACATTGTAACGCATCTTTTACAGGAATTTGCTTTTAGCCAGAACTTAAATGTTCTAATGATTTTTAACTTTTGGTCGGCATCACATGTTTACTGTACTTCTTGGGAAACCTAACCGTTTGTTTCATCAAAATCGGTCACAAGATTGGACTTTAACTTCGGTCCTATTGAATGCAGTTTTGACTGTGTCTCATTGATATTCATTTTTTTTATTGTTCGAGACATACAGAGTGACTACCACCAACATCTCACCAGGTGACTAATCTACGTCTCGTGTGCTCTTAATTTTGTAGCTTTAAAGTGCTGGGAAAATTGTAGAACATATATTANCAGCAGTCGCGCATGCTCATGCAAAAAAGACCCCTGTTCTCGACGTCACAACATACTCTCATACGCTCATGCAAACACGCCTCTCGGCCAATCAGAGCACGAGTACTGTCTTATTCATTTTATTAATCAGAATTAAACCGTACACTTCTGAACCTCTCATAACCGTCCGTGTGGATCCACGTCCCTTGTACCGTTAGTGACGTCATCATTTTTTACCGGTCATAGGCCTAGGCCCGACGTCGAACTTTTCATGAGACGAACTAAACTCTAATTTGGGTCGACCTAAATTAAGTTAAGATCGTCTGTTATTTTATTTCGTCGCATGTGAAGATCTACGTTTGTCCCGGAGACGATCTTCAGACGTTCTATCCGTCTGAAGCAGTCGCACAGAACGTGTTGGACGATCCAAACCCATTCAGACGAACTTAACTGAGCCATACGTCGAACGTTTCATGAACTTAACTCACTAAGTTTGGTTCGTCTCATGAAAAGTTTGACGTTCGGCCTAGCCAAAGACATCTTTGACTCTTAATTTGTGTAGAGGAGAATAGATCTTTCGAAACGACCGTACTCGAATTATTACGATTTAGCTAATCAGGCTAGAGAAAAACGAAAGAAACCATCTAAAGGAGTCCGAGTATAGCCGCCCCTCCCCTCAAGTGAAAAAAAGGGGAAATTTTTTTTCTTAAAGGGAGGGGAAGGCTGTGCACAGGCAACATGTAAAGTTAACCAGAAATTTCCAATTAAAATCTCGTTCCACTACCCACCCGCACAAGAGATTTCATTTGTTGTTTTTTACCTTAGGTTGCAGGAATGTATCGAGATCCTTCAATTGGAGCAATAAAGGTGTATTATGTGGTCAAAAAAATAATTCGTATCAATTCAACGAAAGACGAGGTACGTACAATAGAGCGCTTAAACAACAACGACGGCGACGGCAACGAAAACGTCACTAAAAAGTGAATTTGCGCCGCTTCAAACTTTATCGCGCTTATTCCACCTCGTCAATTCATAAAATGTTGGTAAATTTTTCTGGAGTTGAATTCTAAAAGACTGTATCAAAGTTTAGGAAAAGGAAAAAGAAAGTCGTTGTCTTGTGTTCACGTCCTGGACCAAACGTGAAATTAGGCACTTTCACGTTGTAGTCGTGCTGCAATAGCCTGCAAAAACATCCGTCTCTCCTCTCTCTTCGCCTCTGGGGACGTTTCGCGCGTTCCTCCGCGCGAAACGACCCCAGCGGCGAAGAGAAACGGAGAAACGGATGTTTTCGCAGGCTATGTTGCAACGGCAAAGAAATTTTCAAAAAAGAGTGATACACGTGCAAAGTTGTTGTTTAGTGTCAATCAATCTAAACCTATTGCTTTTTTGCCGTTCTCGTTGCCGTCGCTGTTGTCGTTGCTTAAACTCCCTAATAATAAAGAGATTAAGATTCGTGTTTACGCCAAACGGCAAACGTGAATTTGTACCACGTGACCAAGTTTCCCCCTTAATTGTCGATTACAGTTTAGTACTTTTACACAGAAATAAGTAGTTTCACACCAGTTTTATCCATAAGAATTGTACTGGACACTTTTTATCAGCATATTTTCTATTCTGAGAAATTCTCAACTTGAATCCGACGTTTGCCGTTTGCCGTAAACGTGACTCTTAATCTATCTAATACTTTAAGGGTACTGTGTCACGGCTGGCTAGCCTTCATTTTGTTTATGACGTCAATTACGCATTCTTATTCGCCATGGAGTTTGGTCTTTTGAGTGACAAAATCACAGCTTCAGTTCATAGAAATATATGTTTCCCAACAATTATTTCAAACGTTACATACAAAAATGAACTTTGACACTTGTTAGGCTAACAAGTTACTGCGCTTTTCACAGACATGCGAATTCTTAAGTTCAAAAGCTAACTGAGGATTGCGTTTTTCGCTGCCGTCAATCATCTCAAGGGACCTCTTAGAAAACAAAACTATACTTTAACGGATTCAAAAGGTCATGGTTTGTGATTTGTGATTGGTGGACTTCAATCCGTTTTGTGTGTTTCTGTGTTTCAAGGTTCGTTGCTTGTGATCATAATTATGATTGACGGCTGCGAAAAACGCAATTGTGAAGGCGGCTTTTGAACTTCAGAGTTCGCATTTTTATGAAAAGCGCAGTATGAACCACAATTACAAATGGCGTTTCAATGTTCTTCAAATTTGTCTATCCCTGCCTCCTTTTGTATTTGGCGTGTTATTCATACCCTCCTGTGACGGTTTGAGAGGTGTTAGTAAATTTCGTGACACAGCTCTTATAATAGGCTGATTTAGCCACAGAACGGGAACGTCATTTTACAACAGGAAAGCACGAAGAAATGACCAAATGCGGCTGACAACCAATATGGTTTCAGGAAAAATCGTTCTCCTTGCCTTGCGCCGACAAAATTTCTGCTGCCTCTGACAGGAGAGAACATGCTATTGGAGTATTTCTAGATCTCTAGAAAGACTTTGATAGGTCAGCCACGACATTCTTTTCAACAAACTTAAACACTATGGAGTTTGGGGGCCTACCTCTAGAATGGGTCAAAAGTTACTTCTCCAGTGGGTCACAACTTGTCGAATTCAATAACTACAGGTTTCTGGGTGTTTTTTTAGATGACAATGTAGCCTGGAAATCTCATTTATCTTTCGTTGCCACTAAAATGTCTAAAACGTATAGGCATCATTCATAAATCTAGGTTATTTTCTCTCTCTACTCACTCTCTTCGTACCATATATAATAGACTTTCTAAAAGTTGTTCGCTTGGTTTTCTGGTCTGGTGTGGTAGGACCCGGCTTCGCGCTCGCTCGCTCGCGCTACGCGCTCAAAAGCTCGACTTGTGAGCAAGTCTACATATATAATTCAATGATCCTTCCATATATATATTATTGCAATCTAGCTTGGGGATGTGCCTACAAATCTACTCTTAACTGAAACGATAGTTATATCACAGAAGCGCGCTCTGAGAATAGTAAGCAAGTCTAGGTTCGATGCCCAAACTGACTAAGTTTAATAGATGGCGCAATGTTAAATGTAAATACTCACAACGCAGTTTCTTTTTGCACTAATTACTCTTCTTTGGTCGCAGCTCAAATTCAAGGACGGTGACGGCGATATAACCATGCTAAAAAAATTGTTGAGTTGGTCTTCAACTTATATGAACTTACCAAACGGAGACTCGGAACATTTTGATGTGTTTAGCTATATCACAGAGTAAGTATATTCGTCATTCATACATACATACATACATATACTTTATTTATGCTCGAAATTTACAGAGTAGCTGATCTGATCTGGAGAAACATTAATGGGGGCACTGCGTATCACCTAGTGCGTATAACATTGTGACTTCAAAGGTGGCGGTGATTCATTTCGACTTCATTTCGCGCAGAAACCAGTGGTAGCGTCGCGAAATTTTGGTGTTTTCTAAGGCCAGTGGAAAGAAAACGAGGCTCACCGCGCGCGTGACAAAGGTCTATGGTATCATGCTTAATGTCACTGAACAATGTTGCAATTCTCCAGCTTCTAGTAAGGAGGCGTTCCTGCCATCTGGGATATTATCATGTGTATTCTTAGGACATGAAAGCGATGCACCGGGCCTCACTCCTCTGGCCAAATTGCGTATCGCATTAAACAGAGCACGCCCAATACGGGTTTCCGCCAACATCAATCATTGACTTAATAATTATTATGTGAAGGAACATGAAGCTTGAAAAACTTTTCTGATTGTGCTTTTTCAATGTTATTTTTGCAGCAAAATGAAAGGAGGTAAGTACAACTTTTTGAAAGTACTCGTTTCGTTATTAGGGAGTTTAAGATTTAACTAAGGCGACGGCGGCGAGAACGTCAAAAACAGCAATAGATTTCAAGCCGAGCAACAAACGCCATTCGTATTCATTTTATGGAGGACGGTAATCACTCCACGAGAAATTTTACTTTCTCGTTTTGAGCTTGGAAAAAGTCCTTAAGTCAAACCCGCAGTCCTTTATAGTCATGCCACTATATACTGACTGTCTGGGTAAAATGTAGAACATTTCTTAATTTTTAAATGGAATTTCGAGTGTTTAATCTATCTGCCCCAGGGGAGGGTATTCCGGATTTCAAGTGATGGGGATGATGGAATGAGGGCAAAACTTAAAGGCAAACTAATCCGTGGACCAAAAATTAACCCCGAAAAAATCCGATGCCTAATTTTCGAGCCTTAAAAATTTCCAGAAGGCATTAAAGGATACAAAACGAAAAAGGAAAAATAAGATATGAATTTTTGAGTAAGTTTATCCATCTTACCATCTTAAATTATCTTTTCCGCATCTGGTAGATGCCGAAAATCTTCAAATTGTTTTGAATGGCCAAAAAATCCCTCCTTAAATCAAGCTACCAAACAAAATACTCGCCAAATTGTCAAAATGCAGTATTTTGCCACACACGAACACTCGAAGGCCGTAACTGCTGCCCGTAGAACATGATCCCGGTCGGGGGGGGGAGGGGGGCGGGGGGGAGTACTCTCTTATATGACCTATACGGGTAAGTGCCGCTGGACAGGGTATGGTTTTTGACGTCTCTGTCCTAATCATAGTATATAATTTCGTGTGAGTCTGTCAGCAGGGTATGGCCTGCACGATTTATATGATTTCCTATATTTTTTTTTCTTTGTACTCCAAGTATACAAAAGCAATGACTATAACGTGAATTTGCTCTAGCGTGCATTTTGTCCTTTGTTCTAAACAGGGTAATAAAATTGAGAGTGTTGTCTTGATCACAGTATGTATTGAAGGAATTTTTTGTACTTAACAGGGTCAGGGTTTCAACCCCTCAGCGGCTCACCTGTACCACCAACGATTGGTGATGGTCGAGTACCCCTCGCGGGAACGTGGTCCTACGACCAAGAGATATATTTACCTCACCCCACAGATAGAAATCTATACGGTATCTTCGAGGAAGTTATTTGGGCGACGGGTTAGGGTGGATTTGGAAAACTTTGCTTACAACTAAAAAATTTTTACCTCCCCCATGGTATCACAGATAATTCTAAGTCAGAAATAACGATACTTCACTTAACCTAGTGCGTAGCCCCACCCCCAAACGTGCGTAGTGCAATCATTGTTGTACAATCATTCGTGTTTTGTTTTATTTGTATTTGTATTAGGTCGCGCCATAGCAAACCGCATGTGTGCTCCCAGGCTACCCAATGGCAACATAAACAGTGACGTGGGTCTCCAGACAGCTCTTTATATCGCGCACGAGACAGGCCATAAGTAAGGTTACATAAAAATTTGGTAAACATGTAACAGTATGATACTACATGAGAATGATATATTTTTACATATTTCAATAGTTCAGTAGCCTGTGTACAGCCGCCCCCTCCCCTCTCCTCCAATAAAATTGGAAAGGAGGGGAGCGGTTGTACACCCCAGGCTATGGTTCAGTTGTAGCAGCAAGTGCGAGAGGCGCTGACTCATGACTTAAACCTCATTGGTAGGGTCTACGCGTTAATACCATCTGTTTTCAGATATTTTTTCAATAGGTCACTATTCCCGCACTACCCCCCCCCCCCCAAAAAAAAGGGTTAAAGTTCTGACTTTTTGGTTGGATAAAGTACGTTTTTTTCTGTATTTGCAGCGCTTTTCTTGGTCATGATGTAACACCTGAATGCCCAAATGGTAGGTACATTATGTCTGCGACACTTCCCTCTGGGATCTATGCTGCCACATGGTCCAACTGCTCAAGCCGAGTACTTCAAAATTTTTTGGGGTAAGTGGGCTTTCATTTTAGCTGTTGTCAACTTAATAATTGCAGAAAAGCAGTGCTATGCTATGTGGCGCGGCAATGCTGTATACTTTTGACTGGTGTCAGTGGTTGCCTTTTGTGTGATATTTATATTTGAGACTTGAGTTGAAGATACATTCTGATACAATCAACTGCCTTTATTGCGGACACCGTAGGGACCTCGAGTTAATGTCGTTATTAGTAAACAGGCATTTAGCTGCTGTCCGTAGTATCGGGGTGTCCGTTATAGCGAGGTGTCCGCAAGGCGAGAATTGACTGTAACGACCTTACACAACATGATTTTAATATTTATTATTTTATTATTTTGTTATCCTGTTAAAACAGGAGTACTTCGCATTAACTTATTACTAATTCTAATTATCACTAATTCTTTAAATTCTATCCAAAGAAATATTTGTATCTTTTTCTTTTCTTTTTTTTTAAACTCTTAATTAAGTCGAACCTTCCGTAAGCGAAGGCCCAAAATGGGAAGATTTAGTGGTCGCTCACTGGAGGTGATCGCTTATAATACAAGAATCGAACCTCAGGGGTCTCTTCCGAGAATAGGTCACGACGCATTTCCTTTTTGGGAGAGAATTACAGCCAAATTCGTTGTATCGCGCTGCGCGTTTTCCTGTTCAATCAATCATCTTAGCGGACCTCTTAGGAAACACATGTTTACTTGTGACCAGTATACCAGCTCCTTGGTCAATTGTGACAGTTTACTTCAACACTTACGTCAATTATTTGGCCTCGCGCGCGCATAGTCAACCAACATGTCCAGCACCTGAAACCCTCCTACAGCAATTTTTTGACGTTTTGACGTTTTTCGAGAGCCTGGCACAGCCCACGTGACAATATAAAAGTATTTCTATACACCATTGTCATCATCATCATCATCATCATCATCATCATCATCTCACCATCGTTATCGTAATCTTCTTCAAATATCATATCGGCCATTAATTTGACAGCGAGATTAAGAGACCATGTTCACCCGGTTCCGTACGCTTAACCTGAAAATGGATGGTAAAAGATGAAAAAAAAACTATCACATTCAGGGACAACTTGGTCAAGACTCGAGTCAGAGAATTCCAGGACGCACAACGTTCTTTCCAGCATGTGTACTTGACACATACGAAGTGTAATAAACTCTCGCAGACGTGGTCGAAATTTCTTTTGGGTATTTACTTTTTCCCTGAAACGCAAAGTTAAAACTGTAAACTATTTTATTAATCAACAGGTTTCTTTCAGGGTCTGAGTATTTGTTATCATCATCACCGTCCTCGTCACTATAATCATCATTATAGTCAAATTCATTATCATCATTATTTTTATTATATTAACACCAATGAAATACCAGGTGAGCTTCCGCGCGAAAACTTGATATCTTCACGTGTGAAAATGACACGTTATCTTCACATATGAAAATATCACCGTTGCTATGGCTACATAACAGATCGCGCCTTTCACACCAAAAAACTATTAAAGTGAAATGGTTTGGTAGTTCATTGGTGTTTATATAATTAATAGAACATTACATGACCGCTTGGAGATACGAAATTTCTCTTCTCGTGTTGAAAAAACATTTCACTCGTTCTCTGCGCTCACTCGTGAAATATTTTTCCACACTCGAAGAGAAATTTCGTATCTCCGCGCGGCCATGTAATATCCTCTATTTCTCGTTTTTTTTTTTAAATATGGATCGTGGTCTAGAAAGCCACTGAAGACTTTATCATGGCGCGTGTTTTACAGTAAAAACCCGCGACTAAGAACCTACATTTTCTCAAGTTAGCCTAAACAGGTTCTTAAGTAAATGGTATTAAGCTCAAATTTAAGTTATGTAGGTTCTTAAATAGGCTCTTATTTTCTGAAGTAAAAATGGATTGTAGCTAACAGTACTTAATAAATGGTCTATGTCTCCAAAGAGGATCCTGAATGACTTATCTTATTTCCCTAAGTGTACAGAATTGTTTCTATAGATTTTAGAAAAACAGAACCTGTTTCAAAGTAAAGGCTAAACAGTTTCCTGTATAGATGGGGCCTAACTGGCAAATTTTAGCCTAACGGGTTCTTAAAAACCAAGTTCTTAGTCGCGAGTTTTTACTGTTTCTTCTTTAATCTCATAACAGGGGGGACCGCTC